TAGGACCCCCAACCCCTCTTTTTTTTTTTTTTTTTTTTTTTTTGAAGAATGCATTTGCAATTAAGAGAAATGAGCTAAATACAAGCTAAAGAAAAGGCTCACATTCCTTCTTCAATAAAGAACAAAGAGAAGGAGGAATGTTAGCAAAAGAAGAACTATCAAAGTAAAAGTTGTTATCTAAAGCCAAAGTAGCACACAAATCGGCTACCTTATTACAATCTCTATGAACATGATGTAGAATTACCTTATTGAAATCGGCCAAGAAAAGAAAATCCTCCTCAATCTGATTGTAACCTTGCCAATTAGCCTTGTTCAAATAATGTTGAATGAATTTGATAACATTGATGTTATCACCTTTAATTATTACTCCTTTAGTTTCAAGCATCCACGGTTGAATGAGTCTTCTAAGTGTCATCATAGCATCCAATTCAAGATGAGCTATATCCCAATGTGTTCTTCTTTCACTAAAAGCAATCAATAATCTCCCTTTATAGTCTCTAAAGCAACCTCCAATTCCAGTACTATAAGAAGTAAGGAGAGATGCATCTACATTAATCTTAATCCAATCAAGCGGTCGAGGGTGCCAAATGTTTTGAAACTCCCTAGGGAGATTAGTACCCTAGCTATCAATGAGTGGATTAGAGATTTTAAAAGCAGAATATAACACATTTGCTGCTGTAACTGAATTGGAATTTGTAGTTTTTCCATGTTTCACAACATTTCTATTACGCCAATTCTGATACACCGTATTGCAATAAAGGCTGGCTGTATTAGATGCAAAATTAGAGAGAGTTCTCAGTTCAAGTAAGCACTCATTTATAGAATCAAAAATAGGGATATATAACCCCCATTCTTGGATCTTCCTGATAGTATCCTGCAGCTCTTTGCATCAGACAGAGATGTGTTCCAGATTTTCAACATCTTGGCAGCCCCTAGCACATAAATCATAATTTGTAAGCTTCCTATACCTCAAAAATTCATTAGTGGGGATGGCAACTTTACTCAATCTCCACAAGAAAAGCTCTACACAAGCTGAAATTTTTAATTTCCTCAACCATGTATAAAATCCCATGTCACCTTCACCACAGTTGCAATTGTTGTAGACTTCATAAGCACGGGCTGTGATGGATTTGCCAGAAAGAGAGCAAATCTCTTCCAAGTAATCCTCATTAACATTCCTATCAATTGGAATCTATAATACCATAGTGATGATATCTTCATGGAAAAAGCACTGCAATTCTTCAAGATCCCAGCAACCATTCTCACTAATGAAATGGCTGAGATTTAAACCTTCCAAGCCCGCATAATCTGCCGTAACTGGCCAATCATTCAATTGTTTGTCTAACAACCAAATATCATTAAGAACATCAATTTTTCTCCCATTAACTACTCTCCACCTCAATAAAGGCTTTAAGTATTCAGCACCTTCATTCAAAATATTCCAAGCAATTGAACTACCATTTCTACACTTAGCTTTCCACAAATTGTCTCCATATTTGGTTATCAGAACCTGATGCAGTAAAGAATTCTGGTTTTGTATCAACCTCCAAGTCAATCTAGCTTTGAGAGGACTAGATCTACTAACCGCCGAGTGAAAGTTCAAACCTTCTTGAGCTTTTGATTTACAAAGATTTTTCAAAGTAATGTAGTGCATACCCTTCTTTCCATTCCTCTTATGCCAAATAAACTTTCTACAACATTTATCAACCTCATGAAGCACCTTCTTTAGGACCAAAGTGTGTGTAGAAATAAAGTTCGGTAGAATTAAGAGGGAAGTCTTAGCAAGAGTATCCTTCCCCGCCAATGATAGGCACTTACTTCCCCATGTGTTCAGCTTTTGAATAACCGTATCCAGAAGAAATTTGAAATCAGTTTTCAAAGGTCATCTCAGCATCAGCTTTACCCTAAGATACTATAATTCTTAACCATTTTGAACTTCAGAATTTTCTTCACTTGTAAGATGTCCACTCTATTCATTCCCTTGTTAAACAAAATTTGAGATTTGGCATTATTAACTTTTAATCCAGTCCAGGAACAGAAGTCCAACACAATGTTATTCAACTTGACAGCAAGATGCTTTGAAGCTTGACATAAAAGCAATACATCATCAGCAAACAGCAAATGGCTAACCTTTTGAGCTCTATGTGAAACCTGAATTCCCAAATCTTGACCCCTTTGTGCCATTGCCAAAGAAAAAAGATGAGAGCAAATAATATACAGATATGGCGATAGAGGGCACCCTTGCCTAAAGCCATTTTCTGCAATAATCCACTTGGAAGTTCTACCATTAACAATAAAGGAGAATCTAGCATTCCTAACACATTCCATAATAAGCATAGACATTTTCCTTAGAATACCAAATATTTATAAGACTTGAGATAAAGTCTCCCAACTCATACTGTCATAAGCTTGCTCCATATCAAGCTTAACCGCCATTAAACCTTTTTTGCTTTTTGAAACTTTAAGCTTATGGAATACCTCTGAGCTAGTAGACAAAGATCATACATTGATCTACCATTAAGAAAAGCAACTTGTTCTTCAGTGATACACTTGGCAATGTAATTTTTCATTCTGTTTAAAATCATGGTAGCCACAAACTTATGGGCCTATATTTAGACGGATTAATAGGCTTTTTGATTTTGGGAATTAGAATAATTATTGTATCCTTCCACTCATTATGCATTATACCAGTTTTAAAAAAGCTATCAATAGCCTTCCATGTATCCTCCTCCACAATCTTCCAATAAAATTTGAAAAAAGAAGTTTTGATGCCATCTAAACCAGGGGATTTGTTGTTACCTTGATTGAAGACAGCCACAATCAGTTCTTCTTTAGTGAAATCCACATTCAACAGGTTTGCATCTTCATGAGAAATTCTCAGATTTTCAGAAAATGAAGGCCATCCCGTCAGCTTGTACTCTCTTGTTGTCCACTTTTTTGAAAAAACTTGTAAAAAAACAGTTTCAATTTGCCCAAAATCTTCAGCAACAGACCCGTTATCATCTTTGATTCACCAAATCATATTCCCATTCCTCTTGGCCAAAGCATATTGTCGAAAATAACTGGAATTTATATCTCCATCTTGCTTCCATCTGATTTTTCCTCTTTGATTCCACCAAGTAGATAGTCTTTCCCAAGTCATATTAAGATCATGGACTATATTTCTCAAAAGTTTCAGATTTTCAACCGTAAGACCTCCTGCACTGGATTCTTCAAGCTTCAGCTATAATATATCCTTCTTCAACTCAAGTTTCAACAAATTCAGTTCTTTGCACTTGTTCTTATTCCATAAATAGAGAGCTTTTAATGTTCTTCTCAACTTTCTTTGAAGGATTTCAGCACTAGTACCAAAATCAATTTTTTTTCCATGCTTTTAAAGTAATGTTCCAAGTGGCTAGATAAGATTTCCAAGTGTCTTCAAATCTTAAAAAATCATATTTCTGATTTTGAGGTTCTACCAAATTGAGGGAGATAGGAGCATGATCCGAAGAAACATTGGATAAGTGACAAACCTTAGCCATTGGGATTTTATGAAGAGCTACAAAATTTAATAAACATCTATCTAATCTCTCCCAAATTTTAGAGGTTCCTTCTTTATTAATACACCATGTAAAGCTTGGACCCACAAACCCAATATCATGGAAGTCATTATTCATCGAAAACTTTTTCATATCTTTAGAACCATTAGAGAAATGGAACCTCTTCCCACCCTTCTTATCCTCCTTAGAGAGGATGTAATTGAAATCTCCCCCTATAATTCCTGGTTCATCACCAATCATACATCCTTCAAGCTTTTGCCAAAGACTTCTATGGGTTTGAGCATCCTTACCTCCATAGACAGTAGCTATGTTCCACTTTCCCAAAACATTGATGTTGAGAGTTCCCATAATCAATTGGGAAGAATGTTCAATGACTTCAAAGGAAGCTAAATCCTTTTTCCACATCACCAAAATTCCACCCAAAATGCCAATTGCCGGATGATGAAAATAATCCCATTCATTTCCAATGATCAGGTTGATATCATTCCTATCAAGAGAAGACATCTTAGTCTCAGTTAACCCAACAAAAAAGCCCTTATTGTCTTTCACAATCTCTCTAAGATATAAGGAGGCCTCTCTCTTCCTAGCCCCCAACAATTCCAAAAAATGATGGAAGCCATTAAGAAACAATAGGGGAATTATCCCCTATCATTTTTCTATTTTTCTTCTCCCCTCTCCTCTTCCTTTGATCAGCTTCCATATGTCCCAAGGATCTCAATTCTTTAGAAAGTTTGAATTTACCTGAATTGTTACAAATAACAATTGATCTTCATTATCTTGTATAGAATTAGAAACAACTAATTCTGGATTAATATCAGCTTCATTAGAATCCTTATTCTTGGATTTCTTAAGCAGTTCTGTACTATCCATCTCTATGGCTTCTCCTTCCTCCAGATCACTGTCCAAAGCTTGAAATTTATTCAAAATAATAGGGATATCCTGAATCCGAATGTCTTCAGTAGCTGTTATCTCTTCAGGTATATTTAAATTGCCTTGCATTTCTTCTGAATTAACTGGATCACTCAGCTGTACAATAACTTGAGTCTGTTTTACAGTCTCAACAGGTTTATAAACCTATCTACATTGAACAAACTATCCATTATTCCTTCTTACATTCCTAAATCTTTTATTTCTGAAGTTAACATGAATCCATGGGCCATACTCTTCACTTTCGAGCTGTTTTAACCCATCATCCTTTACATTATTACTCTGTTTCAATACCTCATTTGCCTCATGAACATTCTTCTCCTTAGCTGGTGCGGTAACAGCTTCTGGAAAAATAGTTTTATTGTGCCCAATTCTTCCACAGTGATAACAGAGAGATGTCAGCTTCTCATATTCCACTCTTTGAAATGTTCTCCCATGTATTCCTTTAATCCACACTCCCTTAGGGAGTTTCCTTTCCAGATCAATACGAACACAGCAATGAGCATATTCCCTCTTCCCCCACTTGAAAGAATTTCCATTAAGCATCATAGGAGATCCGACCATAGATGCAATCATGGGAATATTTTCATCATCCCAGCAGCTTAAGGGTAAGCCAGGAAATCAAATCCACACTGGAGAAGTAATACATTTTAATGATTCCGTGGAGAAGGACGAAGACCATCTATCCATCCTGATAATATGGTTCCCAATATACCAGGGACCCCCACTCAATACTTCCTCCATGGATTCCATGTTAGAAAATGAACACAGAATCCAGTTACATCCCAATGTAGTTTGATGAAAAATGCCATACTTGCTCCATTGCCGTCTAAGTTCTTGACTAAAAACAGAGAAAGGAACATCTTATCCCAGCACCTTAATAACCAGTGATTTCTTGAAAACTTGAGAGTTGGCCATTTCCTTTTCTGTGTTAAGCTTAACAACCAAACCATCTTCAAATAATTGGGTAGAATTTATATTAAAATTCAATTTGAAATGCTGAGTCTTCTGCCAAGCCGATGTAAATTTATTTATAGGAATAGGTTTGGCATTCAGCTTAACGACATCATCCACATTATCTCCATCTTTCTCAAAATCAATAAAAAGATTTTTATTAATTTATTTATGAATCTCTGAATCATGCGTACTAGAAAATTTCTTAACTTTCATAACAAAATTTGAAGACAACGTCAATTTTGTAACCAGTTTCTCAAAAAAATTGGTTTTATAGATTCCACATAAATTTGATCATTAAAAACACCTTTACCTTTACCTTCCACAATTGGTTCTAATCTCAAAGGAAGCCTATAACCTTCCCTGATAACCAAATTAGATGAAGTTCTGGTCGATTCTTGATCCAAAGAATCGTTCGAATCTTGATGGGTTTCTAATCATAAGATCTAAAAGGAACATTATGATGAAGTTTGGAAGGAGGATTACCGCCAGCAAGCTGCTGCCGGTGGTCCGGAATCACCATACTACCTGGACGATCTGATCGCAGAAAGCTCGCGAAAGCACAAAATCAAAATCAAGAAATAGTTTTTTCTCTCTAGACTTTCCCACAGCTTCTCTCTCTAAAGTCTATTCAATAAAAGAAAAGTTAGCTTCCACCCAACCACTCTCACCTCCATATTTTTGGATTTAAAGTGATCTTTCTAAATAATGAGAAGTCTCAACTAGGAAAGTTTGACTTATAATCTGATGTAGGAGTATTCCTAGGTTACTTAAGTGTTGGGAGATCCTATTGAGTCCTCAATAAAAGAACACTGGTAGCTGAGGAGGCCACTCATGTTATGTTTAATGAATCTTATAATTCTTGAGGATCTAGGGTAGAAAAAGATGACATTGTAGAAGTTACCCAAGGATTAGAATCTACAAATCTAGAGGAAAGAGTAGAACCTAAAAATACTTTACCTAGAGAATGGAGATATTCTTCAAGTCATCCTAAAGAACTGATCTTAGGAGACCCATATCAAGGTGTTAGAACTAAGCATGGACTTAAAAAAGAGGTAAACCACTCTATCTTCATTTCAACTATTGAACCCACTAACCTAAATCAAGTATTATATGAGGAATTCTAGATCTTAGCCATACAAGAAGAACTGAATCAATTTATAAGGAATGATGTTTGGGAGCTAGCTAAAAGACCTAAGGATCATAGTGCGGTTGGAACTAAATGAGTTTTCAAAAATAAAATAAATGCTTCTGGAGTAGTAGTAAGGAATAAGGCAAGATTGGTGGCTAAGGGGTATAATAAAATAGAAGGGATTGATTTTGAAGAGACTTTTTCCCTTGTAGCTAGATTATAAGCTATTAGAGTGCTACTAGACTTTGCTTGTTTTAAGGGATTCAAACTGTATCACATGGATGTCAAGATTGCCTTTCTAAATAGGGAGATAAAAAAAGATGTGTATGTTGAACAACCACCAAGTTTTGAAAACTCACAGTTTCCTAATCCTGTATTCACATTACAAAAGGTGTTTTTTGAACTAAAATAAGCATTCAGGGCATAATAAGAAAGGCTAAGCACATTCCTAGTAGAAAGATTTTTTATTAAGGAGAGCGTAGACACTTCCCTATTTCTAAAAAGGTAGGAGATGAATTACTCATAGTTCAAATTTATATTGATGATATTCTATTTGGAATTTCTAATAAAAATCTATGTGATGAATTCTAAAAAATAATGAGTATGATTGGAGAACTAACTTACTTTTTAAGGTTTAACATAAGGCAAAAGGATGATGGAAGTTTCTTTAGTCAATCAAAATACATTAAGGACATCTTTAAAAAATATAAAATGGATAAAGTTAAGCTAATCAACACTCCCATGAATTCCACTGTTTAGTTATACAAGGATTCAAATAGAAAATCTATTTATCTAATGAAATATAGAGGAATAATTGGATCACTTCTTTACTTGACTGCTAGTATACCTGATTGGACATATTTCACACACATGTACTTTAGATAGAAAAGCTCATTTAGTATGGAGACCTAAGAAGCATAAACCAAACTATATCATATATGCATCTAGTTTAGTTTTGCCAAAAGGAAAACTCAAACTCATTTGGGTTCCCAAGACTAACATTTGATTATTTATCAGGAATGCTCTCATATAAGGCCTCATGAGAGCATTTGGTACCTGGACAGTGGTTGTTCGAAACATTTGACTTGAGAAACTTAACAATTCATATCGCTGGAAGATAGGAATGGAGGCAAGGTTATAATGGGAGATAACACTACTAGGAAAGTGGTTGGCACACGTATGATCAGAAACTTGCATATTTTTTCATTGAGAATATATTACTTGTCGAAAGCTTAAAGCATAAATTGTTAAGTATTAGTCAGCTTTGTGATAAAGGGTATAGTTTTCTCATTAGCTGCATATTAAGTCTAAAGGGAAATGATGCATTGCATGGAATTTGGGTAAATAATATCTATTTGATAGATTTGAACTATATTAAAGCTCCTAATACGATTTGTTTTAAAATAATTTTTTATGAATCTTGGTTATTGAATAGGATACATTGTCACACTAGCATGACAAACCTTAAGAAAATTACCCAAAAGGATTGGGTTAGAGGTATATCAAAACTAGACTTTACTAAGGATCACCTTTGTGATGCATGTGTATTAGGAAAACAGGTGAAGTCCTCATTTCATTTCAAAAAGGATCTTAGAATTACTAAACCATTGGAGATTATTCATATAAATCTTTTGGGCCGGTTAGCACTATAAGTCTAGAAGAAAATGTATACTAATTTGTGATAGATGATGATTTTTTAAGATTCATGTGGGTTAAATTTTTATTTCATAAGAGTGAATCATTTTAAAAATTTAGAGACTTTTTAACTTGAATTAAGAGAAAGCTAGGGTGTGAGATTTTAATAATTCAAAGTGATTACGGAGGTGAATTTGAAAATAAAAAATTTGAGAATTTTTGTAAAACACAAGGAATTGATCACAATTTTTCTGCACCTAGAACCCCTCAGTAGAATGGGGTAGTCAAAAGAAAGAGTAAAATATTAATTGAAGCCTCTAGAGCCATGTTGGCTGAATATTCACTTATTAAATATTTTTGGGTTGAAGCAGTTAGTACTGTATGTTATGTTCTGAATAGGGTGAACATTAGATCAAAACTGAACAAAATAGCCTATGAGCTTCTTAAGGGTAGAACACTAAATTTGTCACATTTGCATATTTTTGAATATAAAATGTTCATACATAATATTGAAAAATCTTCTTTAGAAAAATTTGATAAAAAATTAGATGAAGAAATTTTTCTTGGATACTCTAGTGTTAGAAAATTGTATAGAGTATTTAACAAATGAACTTTAGTAGTTTAGGAGACCACACATATTATATTTAATGATTTTTTCTTACAACATGTATGTTTTTTATGATTCCAAATATTATTGCTTTGATTACTATTTCTTCTAACATATTTTAGATGCATTATTTTGATGTTTATGTGTACTAACATTTTACAAAAATCATACTCCAGATTATTGAAGACTTCAAATCAGATCATTTTAGGGTTTATTATAAATGAAGTCTATATTTTTATTTTATTGAGT